TATATATATATATATATATAAATATATATATATATAGTCCGGGTTTCTTCTGAGGGAAAATTAGACAAAGGAGGTAATGGCCAGTTTGGGAAAAAACGTGCATGATGGATTCAAAGGCGTGCCATAGGCACGCATGCGGAGGCTGCAGGCGGACACGGGGTGAGAGAGGGTTTTAAGAAAAATTTAATGTGCGCGCGAGAATTTTAAAAATTTGAATGTTTTAGACTGCATTTGAGGCACCCTGAAATTGGCGATGTTAAATTTGACAACGGCAGTGCCCCACTGTGCCTCTTATGTATAAGAAATCCTGTATATAATGTGCGAACATGCGATTATGCGATTATGTGCTATAATCCTGTATAGTGTGTGTGTGTGTATAAATATATCTTATCAGATATATCACTTTGCAGGTTGGCCAAAGTTCCACTTTCAGGTGTGGCACCAGGACACGTTTGGACGCAACGAGCTGTATGGCTACGGCTTTTGCCACGTGCCGACGTCGCCGGGCATCCACGAGCTCGAGTGCGCCACCTGGCGACCGGTTGGTAGCCTACGCGAGCAGATATCGCAGTACTTTCTCGGCGGCGGTCTGCAGCTGCGCAATCCTGACCTCGTCTATAGCGGCGTCGACCGCTACAAGCTGCACACGCAGGCAATGGGCAAGGTGCAGCTCCACCTAGGGCTGGTCTTTAGAAACTTTGACAAGTACGGAATGGAGTGCTGATATACGCGATGAGATTCGCCTACGCTTGGTGCTGATTTCCGTGCGCTGCAACCCTGGCGCGTCACCATCTGCCATGCTATCAGACAGTTCCATGAGTTTCCGAAATATTGTTGCAAGTGGAAGGGTTGCGTGTACGTGGTGATGCCGCCACCTACATATTTATTAGGTTGTGGACACAGTAATTACTACGGCTATTTGACTGAATTTTCCACGTGGTCATATGCTGAGAAATCTTCTTTCCAAGGTGTCTATAGTGATATTGTAAATTCCGTCCTTGAGGTTTACTGTTGTTTAATAATTTATCTTTGCGGTATTTGTCATCTTCTACGTCCAAGAATGCACACTATAAATTCCTTTATACATCGTGCAATCTCAATTTAGTGTGGCATGCTTTGACAGCAGAAGTTTATACGAAAAATCTTTATAGTTTTATTATTCTTAATAAACACTCGTCCATTTTTATGTAAACATAAATGCATTCTAAGGTAATTTAATAAAACGTTGCACAGCACAAGTGTAGCCCAACTATACAAGTCACATTCTAGTTTGTGAGATATATGATATTCTTATCAAGTAAGTGAGACAACATTTACGAGTAAGACATTTACAGCAAGGCACTACACTACCATAAGTGGACTCAGGCATATTCATCGTGTATTTTCACATTAGTGGGATAGAAAGTCCTGGAGTAAATCAAAATTTAGCATAAAATTCAGCATCTGTTGAGTACTGAGTGTACATATACTTTCTAGATATTTATTATTTGCTTCCAATGCCTGGTCAAAACTACTGTTCAGCAAGAATGATTAGAGCAGTAACTGTGCATCGAGTTACGCACAGAAACACTTGATTAATTCTGATTATCAGAGACCGACTCAAATAATAAAAGCATGAACCACAGGCGCGTGACCTAGTCTCATAAGAATACTAACACGTTTATAGTGACTGGCCCCTATGTAATGCAAACTATGTTAGATAGGGCCCTGTCATGATGGATCGTGCGTTAGTATTCCTATCGATGGATTCGTTTGGAGGATTGCTGTGCATGAAACTGGTGTTGCTGAGGTGGAATATTATTTACGGCACATGCAGAGACGCCATCTGATGGCATGCTCGTGTACTAGCTACGTATCGCGTTATGGCGTGAAAGCAATGTATAACTGACGCCTAGTCGTTTTGAACCCAAAGCGTCGCCTGAGAGGTGTTGATCCTGCCCGCTAAGCGCGCCAGATATTATAGCAAGTTTTTGGTCTTGCCTAATGCCAGCACTAATGTCCACCGATGATTACAACCGTTTGCATAGGATCATAAAGTTCGGTACTCATCTGCTGCTTTTCCAGGATTTTGTGATAGCAACTTTGTCACGGTGGAATATAGAGCTGCTAGAATGAGTTAATATTATTAATGTATATATACCGGTATAACCAAACGCAATAACGGGGCCAATTATTGCTAGCCATGCAGGATTTATAATTTGACAACTGAAGAAGTTCAAAATCTCGCATGTCGTTGTAGTTTTACTAATCGTAATTGTGTGTTACCTACAGCAATGTTGTCCTAGTATTCGGTTTACAGGCTGGTCTGTTCTCGGAGCACATCTACGAAATATTCCTACACGACCACGTTTCTGTTATTATGTGACAGTACTTGTTTTTGTTTTTTTAAGCTGCACTAATGGATATTATTTTTCGCAGTTTAGTTGTCTAGAAGGTGGGTGCTGTTGCTCTGTGAACCAAGAGCACCATCTGTACACTGAAAGCCACAGTATCCCATAGCAATCGGTAATGATCCGAACACAATTTGCTTAGAAGCGAACAGCCATGAAAACTTTGGTGTCTGGACTACTAAGTGCACAATCGATTAAAAATAAACCATGGTCACTAGGACGTTTAAGGTATAAATAGCATTTATTGAAGGACAGAGATTAAATAGTGGCATACATCGTGAAATATCACTGAAAATAAATAGCATTAAATATGTTCATAAAGGATTTTCCATATATACGTAATACACAATAAATACTACACGATCGCTATCCCGTCACGTTGTTGACAGTTACGTGCATTTGACAGGATGTTTTTTTCATAAACCAGATTTTGCAGCATGATTATAACAGAATCACCAACTTGTGTGGCTCAAACTAATGCAATAATGCTACCAACCATTAGAAGTGACTAACTGACCGACTACCTGGCTCAATGAAATGCTTACTGTCTCGATGTTAAACATGACTGACAGCTAAACCTGTGCGTAATCGCATCAAATACACGGAGACGTACACGTATGATTACAAACTATTGAAAATTGTAATACAAATGAAATCTATACCCTGTAAATGTATGGGTTATGCCCCCCTAATAATAGGAGTATTAGCTACGCAACTTTTTCACGTTTAATAGCGTTACAAGAGCAATTTAGTACACGTGTAGTAATTGTGTATGTGGTATAACACTGTGCGTATATACTATGCACCGGTGACAACGCGTCGCCCGTGCAGGTAAACATAAACCAGTAACACTACGTACAGGAGAGTCGTGTACAGCAAAGTTATTGCTTGGTGCAAATAAAAATGTTCCCTCAACTATTCGAAACACATCCGCCGCAGTGGTAAACGCACAGCATAAATGAATCGTTCTGCCCGACCGTTGGATCTCTAATACTGCGCTTGTTTATATATATCGCTTCTTTGGTCCCCGGTTATGGTCATATTCAGACGACATTCCCACGAACTCTTGTCGTTTCAATAAAAGACAGAGCTATAGTGAGTGGCTGGCTGTCCCTCCCACGCACCCACCCACCGGGGGGAGTGTTTGCAATCCCTCTGTCCACAGACCTGGATTAAGAACCTCGTCGTGACCGGTCATCAATGACTAGAGGAACTATAGTAGGTCTAAATAGTGCAAAACACAACTTCGATACCGTGACATATAAGCCGATTGTTTTTTAATGAACACAGTATATAAGGTTCAGCCGTGTATCGAGGGCATGAATAGCAAAATTGCTACACATGAGTCATCATCTAGCTCTGTGCCACACCTACACATGGTCCTTCATTAAAAATAGTAGATATACAAGATAATAAAAAAATAGCCATATATAGTCGAATATTTTAAAGACAACAAACAGCAATGCTCACGACGACAAAAATCAAAACGTTAAATGTTGCTGAGGTTGTCAACATTTGCGAATAGACTACTGATACGTGTTTCTTTACAATTGTCTCTCACTGCTGACAGTTCCTTTGTTTAGGTACGCGAAAGCATTATTTCCCATCAGTACCACGATCTGCATCATTTTCTCACTCCCCTGCAGGCTTGTGAAGACTTGCCATCATCACTCACATATCATAGACGCCGTAGGAAAGGCTCGTGATATACAGAGAAAGGCAACTACTATCAATTACTAGTAATCGCATGAAGGGAAGATGAGGAACGATATGTTGCCCTTTAAACGAAAAATCCTAATATAGAACACTTGCAAGGATACTACCGCCACACGCGCGTTAATGTCTAATAGAACTAGTTTTGTTCTCAACACAGTAAGCTGTCCCCCACAGAGACCGTCCTCAAGACAATGTGCGTGAAGCTATTTCCTATTTCCTAGTTCCTTATTTTCAAAAATAAGTAAGTGGACTCTTACATTGCATTCAAACTCTCCACAAGCTAGAGTATAGCATGTGCACCATCCACAACCTGCTCTACATCTGTTTCTATATAGTGAAATAAAAGTGAACTACTCGCCTAATGGCGCTGCTCTCAAATAAGGAAATGGGTCTAAAAAATAAGTAGGTGGACTCTTACATCACATTTAAACTCTCCACAAGCTAGGGAACAGCATGTGCATCATCCACAACCTGAGCTACATCTGTTTCTATGGTGAAATGGAAGTATTATAGACCCCTTATTTTTAGACCCATTTCCTTATTTTAGAGCAGCGCCATTAGGCTAGTATAGTTCATTTTTATTTCACCATAGAAACAGATGTAGCTCAGGTTGTGGATGGTGCACATATGCTATTCTCTAGCTTGTGGAGAGTTTGAATGTAATGTAAGAGTAATAAGGAACTAGAAACTAGGAACTAGGAAATAACTTCACTCACATCTCAAAGACACTACATTTAGTTGTATTTCAGGGTGATGTTTTCTTGTAGATATGAAACCTGAGGCGGATCACCATCAGATTATTTATAAATGATAATTGAGAAATAACGTCAAGATATGAAACGTCGTCATCGCAGCATGAATAGCAATGCTACCTAATTACAAACAACAGTGTCTGTACCTAAAAATAGTAGGAAAACAACACCTGTCAGAAATACTAAGCAACATGCAAGGTGTACACACTCACAGCAGTAAGTCACCCGCACTGAGGCATTATGCATGTGTTGCATATGCATAGGCACTGATGCATATAGATCGCAGACGTTTAACGTTGAATTATCTGAAGGGGGACAGTAGACTCGATAACATTTGTATTATCCTTTAGTATGCTGTATGCACTTTTGCGCGTGCTAAAGTGTAAAACATCGTTTTTTCGCTATGATGACTTTAATATACGAAGGGCCAGACTATCTCGTCTTTTGATACGCGATAAAATAAGTATACACGTCTCCGTCACGGCGAGTGTGTACATAAAGATCCACCACGTGATATAGGGCATGCCTGCCCCACTTACCCAACCATCTTGAGGAATCCTGCTCAGCAGAAGAGACAATAGATATTTTTAACAATCTTGCAGATTTTGTTCTAACAAAATCTCAACCTTAACCTGTTTCATAACAATTAAAACAAAACATGGTTCTTAAACAGATTTCAAACCCCTACAGCACGTGATACCCCGTCGAAGGAACTTAGGAGTAAAACGTACTTCGCAGATAACTATGTTTCATAGATATGCAGATACTGCAACATAATAAAGAAATATAACTTTGTGGGATTTTTGGTATGTGTTGATAATTTCCACGTCATGCCGAATAATAGATGGAAGATATAAATATAGTAAGCTATTTTAAACATCTTTGGTACAGAAGGCACACGCGCTCACACATACGTGCGCACGCACACACGCTGAAACACACGCGCACACGCATGCACACATAACATACTCGTATTTTCTGCACAAATCAAGTAACGGAAATCCACTGCACAACACCACTACCGCTCAAATGTCATGCGCAAATAATGATAGTCCACAATACCTAATATAAGAGCTACCAGTGTACATTATGAATGTAAATGAAATGAGGCTCACATAAAATATTCTCCCAAATATATACATATGTCTTCTGCAAATAACAGCCTCATCCTGCGTTACAGCAGAAGCTGTAGTAACTCATCAGCTATAATCAGCATGCCACCAACCTTACTAGTGCTTCATGAAGCTACTAAGAACTGCTCAGTAACTCCAGGCTTCTATAGTTTAAATTCACATCGTGCAAGATGATGCACAAGATAAATGCACACTGAGATCACAAAATCTAAAAACGCCCTTGGTGATATTTGCGTACAGACACGCGCGCGCACGCACACACACACACACACACGCGCGCGCGCGCGCGCACACACACACACACACACACACACACACACACGCACGCGCGCACACACACACACACACACACACGCACGCACACACGCACACACACGCACGCACGCACACACACGCACACACACACACACACACTCACTCACGCACGCACGCACACGCATACAAATATATATATATTATATATTTGCGTAATACTAACTATACATTACACAGAGCAAGACAATATTACTTGTATATGGCCAGCCCTTATCAAACCTATGTGCGACGCTGTCACGCAATGAACCACGCGTAGCTATAACAGTCGGCCCTCTGGCCATTAATAAAGGCCTGAACTGATCTGGGGAAAAATACTAGCATCATTGCCTTGATATGCGAGAATGGAACCGTCTCATGACAGCAACACACACACGTTTGCGGCCAGCAAACGCACACACATTAAACAAGTCAAGTCGTAACATCAGAAAAAATAGTTAAGAATACTTAACAAACACGTGTACAATTAGTGAATGCTTATTTCCTTTTTACACAAATAATGTTTTCACTTAAGACTTTCTGAAGATTTCAGTCACAAAATATAAACGGCTACATAGGTTACAATAATGAACGTGTAAATAAGACACATCTTGTGTCGCTGCTTCTGGAATCGTATATGCCCCTAAATTCCCATCATTTCATTCCAGCAGAATGACCATAAGTGTGATGAATTCGATCAACCAGTTATCAGTGGTTGTCTAAAGCACTCAGGCCATCAGATATACTTTGGTATTACGCATATTTACGGCTACATATAACAGTACGATCGTGTGTGGAAACATTGTTACGCCGACCAGCAAAGACAATCGATCTGTATACACACATATTTCAACGAAAGCACTGACGTTGCAATTTACATTCGGCGGCCATTTTTTTCCAGTTGTTTGTGGGGCGAGACGTACCACCGTCACGTTGAGAACAAAAGGCGGGGGCACGCCAACGATGAACGCGCTAAGCACCTTCAGCAGCGTTCTGCACCTGCCGTGCGGGGAAGATGCACGCTGGTCGTTATAGCAGCCAACACCTGCACCGGTGAGAGGAGAGCGAGGCCTCGGCGACACCGCTGCAGGGCACATCCCTGTAGTCACGCACCGGACCGACTCAGCCATGCAAGCAGAGTGGGGCAAGCCGCATCTAAACATCACCATCTGTTGTACGCGGGCATTGTCGGCACGCCGATTTTTAGCCGTCATCTCCAGCTAGCTTTTCTACGGTAGGAACTCACGTGTATCCACCCCCACCCCCCACCCTTCCACACACACGCGCACACGCGCGCACGTACGCACACCGTCACAAACTCCGCCCAAAGTCGGGAATTTCCTGGAACAGGTGTTGACTTGCAGCCGGGAAATGAGAACTTGATATGGCTTCATTAACCAAATTGCAGAGAACAACCGAGAAATTTCCATCATTACTCCAGCTGTTCGAGAAAGTTCGGGGACATAAAGTACTCCGGAATGTTGTCGTCCATGCGAGCGATAACCTTATAGATCTGCTTCTTCCACGATTGCTCCGTATCCTTGCCTGAGATTACCGACCTGAAGAATTCCCGCATCGTTAGCTCGGTGGCCTTTCTGAAGCTATCAGGCACCTGCAGAGTAGAGGAAGCAGTGGTTATAATATAAACAGTAGCCACACATGCATAACGACAGCCATCTTTAATTTCTCGCCAGATAACACCTTCTTCAACAGTAATATAAGGGCAACTTGTAAACAATATACAAGTCGCAATGCAATATTACCCATCTAGTACATGAAATAGACGCACGCATTTCGCGGTGCTAACCAATCGTTCGTGATAAGAAAGGATAGACATAAATTGTCTATTATTTAGTCGGTGATGACTTTTAACTCAGGCAACCAACGCTACAAGTCTCATCTCTAATTAACCGCCATTCAGCAAGATGGCTTTCTCTCAAGGAGATTTAATGCTGCCTCTAGTGATTAGATATGTGCCCTTAATTATCAAACGTCGGCAAACAACACCTGCTAACATGACAGAAAGATGTAACAAGCCCTTGGCAATTTCTGTACAGTGAAGGATGGATTCTTATTTCAAATAATGCCAACCATACGGAAGGCATTTCAGAGCAGATTGTATGCGTAATTGCATTTATATGTCATCCCTGAAGTATCAAAGCTGAAGAAACATGTCTGCAATGATTAGCAACGAAAATTAATGCCTGTTGCGATTTAGAGAAGCGATTATTCATGTGAATTCTCCAGGAAATTCAATTTATATTCCGAGAAAAATATAATAGGCACGCCAGCCTTCTGGATCCGCTGTGCTGACACCGCATAAAACAAACAAGAGAAATCTTATGCGTGGATCAGGGTTTGCTGTCGGTATTAACATGTTTACTAATCGCTATTAAAGGTTCACGAGATACCAGAGAAGCACGATGGCCATCCGTGTGACATTCTCCTACGGACCTTTCAGATGTGACAAGACCAGGAGTGTATAATATAGACCGATACAATAACATTCCATTCCATGTACACGCGCGCGCGCATACAGATAGACACACAAGTAGCCACACCCGCACGCACACCTACTGAATAAAGTCAGTCTATCTAAGTGTGTATGCGTGCGTGCGTATAAGGTCTCTCTCTCTCTCTCTCTCTCCCTCGCTCTCTGTCTTCTCTCTTTCCCCTTCATATATATATAACTATATATATATAAAGATGAAATCACATCCTATAGCGAGTATTGACCTTTCAAAGTCGCACAGAAGGAACTGAGTATAGCGCGAGCTGAATATTGGCAGACTACGCGGGTCGAGCAGCAGCGGGGGGCGGATGAAGTAAGCGTTCGGCGCGCACACTGACAATTAGATGCGGAGATCAGCGGGTAATTAGGCGGTGAATCTGCCCGGCCGATTGGTCGCGCCACGCAGACATTTAACCTGTTGACAGGAAATCGCCAGGTTCCTGGGTGCGGAGGTTATAACATGTGACAGGCGCATGCCGAGACAACTTCGGCCAGCAGTAGAAATCCATTTAGGATGACAACAGCGCCGAGCGTGGCTAAGTGCGTGGGATAATTCCCTAATACGGCTTGGCTGATACTTGTCACTCATCGTTTCTCTCCTGGAGGTCTTCCCGGAGAGATCGATAGACGGGGCACGGCAGCACGGGCAAATCCCGCGTCGAGCAAACCCGATTGCGCTCTAGCATAGAGCACCGCCGATAAATATCATCGTACAACTTAAGTGTCGGGTAATTTTTCTTAATGTGTTAAATTGATAGAATGTAATAGGCTTAGCCGGAGCGAGCCATTTATCATCTGTCAGTGCCGACCCTGCTGAGAAGTTTTATTGTATCACACGCGCAGATAATTGCTGCAGGCCACCACTACTTACGAACGCCCGTGCGCGCGGGTGCGCCATAAAATGTTCGCATTTCGCAGAAATATCAACAGTCTTCGCCGGCCGTGGCTAAACACCGGTGGGCAAACATCATCGCTGGCACGAAAAAACGATTTCTCGCCGAACGACAAAGAAGGTCGCGCTGAATCCGCGCGAACGCTGAACAAACAGCGAAAACAATCAGTGAGCCGTGGCTATAAAACGATCTCATATTAATAGCACCTTTCCCTATTCGCCAGCCATCTCATCAGGCGCCGCGATCACATACCAGTCTCTCAAGGACACTAAGTAAATCAGCGGCAATTAGGCTTTATTGGCGATATAATGCGCCAAATGTTATTAGTCCGATTCCATTAGGATCTCGAGCAAGTCCACATATAAAACTTTTAAGAGTTGCCATAACGAATCAATTAAGCAAATGCATATTAAATTTAGGTATTAAAGTTAATTGGAGCAAATGCCTTGAGACGAGAATAACCAGCGCGGTTAAGTCAAGCGTCATTGCCAACTCATGCAACGGCAGTCTCTCGGGCGCGCATCTATCGTGCAGAACCGCCATTACCGATCTGATATTAAATTCTCGCTAGCACGCGTCGCAGTTACGAACGCGGACGCCGCCTCGCACACACGCATTCATGCACGCACACATCTCACGCAGTCATCTACACTCACGCATGCGCATGCACGCAAGCAGACGCACGCACGCACGCACGCACGCGCATGCACGCACGCACCGCAGCATCTCATCCCCCTCACTGTCCGCATTGCCGCCGCCGGCACAAAAACTTTTATGCTAATCTCAGCGGAATAGCTTAAAACTTTATGCAACATTAATTTCGTGTTACGGGTTAAATATGCTTTATTCGCCGTCTCCACACTTATCAATCATACGCAATAAGGCATCTAGGTAATTTCATATTTTCCTACATAAACCATCCCAGGAGGACCACGCCTTTAGCAAGCAGTGCGCCGAGCGCAAAAAAATCATCCTCAACAAAGTCAAAAGCTAAGTGATTTCTGAAGGCAACTAGGGAATATAGGCACCGACATGCTAAGCATAGATAAATTACTCCACACAAAGGCACAGGCAATTACAGTTATTAAACTTGAGAGACAAAAATAATAGCTGCCACAATAAAATAACACTGAAATTAATAACATCTCAAAACAAGCAATAAAGGAAATGAGGTTTATTCAAAATAGTGTTTGTTCTTGTCTGTTACGCGGTCAGACTGGCCATGTGTGGTGACAGATATCATAAAACCGCCAACTTTAATGGCCACTTCAGATGAAAAAGAAAAACGCTGATCGTGATCCCTATAATGCAGTTTACATGTCACAAGCGAAACAAATTTATGAGACAGTCACATAAATTCCACGCGTTTAAATTATTAGAAGATTCGTTCTTTTTTTCCCGTCTAAAAAGCGGTACAAAATAGAACAAATGCTCGCGAACCGCTTTGTAAGCACGCGCCTGCTTTTATGTCTGACCGCAACTAATATCATGATCATATACGTAATAACTAAAGAGTAAAAAACTAGTTTGATATTTTAGCATAAAAGTTCATGCGCACATCAAACCAGCATGTTAGCTTAGCGATGATGAATAAACTGCGGCGACTGGACGCAAACGTTGTAAAGTTTCTTCAATTTAGTGTAACGCGAGCGTGACTGCGGCGATGTGCGCTATCCATCCGCCAGTCCGTCAGTTCATCCGTCTATCCGTCAGTCCGTCCGCCAGTCCGTGCATCCGTCAGTCCATCTCTCTATCCGTCAGTCCATCCGTCCGTCAGTTCGTACATCCGTCAGTCCATCCGTCCGTCAGTCCGTGCATCCGTCAGTCCATCCGTCCGTCAGTCCGTGCATCCGATAGTCCATCCATTCGTCTTTTCCTACGTCTATTAATCAGGTTGTCTGCCTATCTTTAGGTCTGCCTGTCAGTCTGTCCGTCTGTCAAACAGTCAGTCTATCTGTCTATTTGCCCTTACCATCGCATAACCACACGCCGACAGACGCGCACGCGCGTGTGTGCGCCCGCGCTCATGCACACACATGAACTGACGACCGCACTAATTCACACACGCACACATGCGTGTACGCACGTACACAGACAACCACGCGTACATATAATCGTTTACTCTTTATCCATTAAGCAGACCGTCAGTGAAAAGATCCTCTGAGACTATGCCTATATAACCTGTGCCGCTTTTGGTCCAGTCAATGCACACACGACATAAACTGTTAGTAGTTAGTAATCGAATGCGATTGAAATTGCTAGCAAGCTTATGTCATCAAAATTTAATGCCCGTTCAGCAATTATGAGAAACAGAAAAGGAAACGCATAAAAGAATATATGGAAAATGAATGTAATATGTTGGTTACGAAGGGTGTTACCATGAATAAGTTTCGCTTTCTAGTATTGTTACTGAAGTAAACCATGCGTGGTTTCACGATTGCGTAATAATTTACAGAGCAGCTACAATTAAGAAATTTTATAAGAACACTACGGCAATACCGTAGCTAAAAAAATGATTGCTGCATGTTCGTTTGCGCATTTATTTAGTAAAACTATTATACGAATGCGGGAACAGATCTTTGCATCTAATTTGTGAATGTGAAAGGCCACGCCTTTTAGGTAGAATCGCCATTACGAGTAATAATGGAACTGTAAATATAACGACGGTTTCCTGTGCATAATATACAACGTAATATCGTAAAAGGAACATGAACAAGACGCGCAAAAATGTAAAATAGTTATGAGTTAGTTACTAATAATAATAATAAATGGTAAAAAGGTAATGCCGAGTTCGCATATAAAAGAAAAATAACCGGAACCCACAATAGCTGCTGCTAACACAGCGGAGCGAGTGTAATGTTAGAATACCACGGTGCACGCTGTCGAATATTAAAAAGAAACACTCTTAGGTCGTTCGGACCGAAACGTCCAAAAACAATATTAGCTATGACAACAACAACAAAATGATAATGAAACACACCCAATTGCCAAAAAAATCAAAATCAAAATCAAAATCAAATCAATCTGACGGTGTACAGCAGCGGAGGAGAGACTACGCTAGAATCCCCGAGTGAAGACCGAAGGAAGTCATTAGCTAGAAATATGTTGGTGATAAAGAAATATTATTTCTGGTAAATAAATCCGAAATTATACGTGTGTGTGTGTGTGTGTGTGTGTGTGTGTGTGTGCGTGTGTGCGTGCGTGCGTGCGTGCGTGTGTGTGTGTGTGTGTGTGTGTGTGTGGTGTGTGTGTCGTGCGTGCGTGCGTGCGTGCGTGCGTGCGTGCGTGCGTGCGTGTGTGTGTGCGTGTGCGTGCGCGTGCGCGTGCGCGTGCGTGTGCTTGTGCGTGAGCGTGTGCTTGTGTGTGAACAGTAGAGAAGTTTGCTGGCAAATGATAATGGTTAGAAAACGGCTTTTCCCAAAAACACATTACAAATCTAACATGGCTGCAAACAAGGCGTGAAGTAGATAACGGTGAACAGGGACAATAATGCAATCGCATTAATTCGCCAGTGCGCAATGTAGGGTATAACGTCTGCGTGAATCTTGCTACTGCTGTACTTACTACCTCTATGTGATTGTTGCGGTTGTAATGCAGGTTGAGGACACGGAACAACTCCGAGTCTCTGGTCACGGCCGTAAGCTCCTCGATAGTCTTGACACCTTCGCTGATCGACTGCCGAGCATACTTCTCCATCTGAATGTAGAAGAACTCCCTGCAAGAGAAAGCAAACGTTTCAATGTACGACATGCTTACGTAGGCAACATGTTTGACTCGTCATGTTGGGTGATTTTATACGCCATTCATGCTAACTAGCAACACCATTTTTTGATCGTTTTTAACAGCCGCACGTACCCCGCGATTCGTACAGGAAAATTTCTATAAGATTTTATATAACACTAATTTTGGACATGATTAGTAACGTCGTAAGAATTCATGCGGCACAAGTATGTAACCATAGTATTGTGTCCGTTGTCTATTTCTGCAAGATTCTCAACCCCATTTCCCCGTATACCGATAAGATTGTCGTTTTTGACATCGTTCGCTTGTGAACAATTCGCATTCGTACATGTGCATTGTAGACGAAGATACATTTTTCTTTTGGGCAAACCAAACATGTCGGACGCCATGCGCGCTATCGTGATCATGTAACCCGTGAAAGGTCGATTAAAAGGCTGCTTGACTCTTCCGTTTATTCTATTTTCTGATGGCGTGCTCTGTGCCTTCAAGCTTGCTCTTTTTCTTTCGTAAAATTTCGCGTCGGCACACGAAATGCAAGCGGAGCTTTTAGTAGGAAGTTTTACAATTTTAGCTGGCATGACAACCTTTATAACAATCAGTTTGATCATGTCTGTCAGCTACTGAATGACACCCTAAATTTCTATGGGGGCAGAAAAAGCGTTTCCTACGATGCAAAGACACTAAATGCACGAGACGCATTGTGAAGCAGTGACAAGTGACGTGCATTGTCTCTTATCCAATTTTGTTGTTGACATTACTCATTTGCACGTAACATCACAAAGAACAAACCCGCATTTTAATGGAAGGGCACAAAACACAGGCACAACAAAGGTTCATGACATGCAACGTCTCTGTCCTGTGCTCATTTGTGTAGACGTTTGTTGGTATGACGGGGTAATGTGGCACTATATTTGCTCAAGGAATAAGGGAAATTCGTACACAAAAGGCTGGCTGCATAAAAACGGCTTGCATTAGACCTCGCAGAGACCCTGCCATCAATGATATTTACCACCTTTGTGGCACGGAGCAAAAAGATCAATCCGCCACTGCACGCTTGATACAAAACTCGGTGTATCGCTCGCCATGCCAAATGCTTGTCACCACCCATGTAAGGCAGCATTGTGGTCCGACAACACAGCAAGGCAGCCCAAAGTGCAAATTACCAAAAGGTGTTTGGCCAAAAGTGACAAAGGACTAATAGATTAATTGCTCCAGCCATTTGCCATTAAAAGCCCTTTATATATTACTTTCACATTTCGGTGGCAATACGCCTGCTATCTACCATTACGTTCAATTACTCCTCGGCGACACTGAGTATCTGCATTAACCGCAGCATTAAAGGCCATCAACGGGCGCAGTCGAGTGACATCAATGCCCAGGCTTCATCAAAGAACAAGGTGTACCAATAACAAGCACTTTACACAATAAGCCACTTGCCGCGGCGATGCGAGGCGACTATATATGCCACCGACCAGCAGCGGGAGGGAGCGGCCATGACAGCGGCCATCCTCGCGGACAGATCCCCGCCCCAGCTCCCCGTTCACACCGAGGCAGTAGGATTACTCACGTCGTCTAGCTTTGCATAACTGATCAGCGACGGAATTAAGGAATTGGTGCGCGACATTGCCTGCTAGGCAGCAGCGTGTCAGTGAACAATTCTAGCCGCGCAGACGAAGATCAACAGTGACCATGGAAACGCGACCAATTCAAGAACAAATAGCAATTCAATGAAGTACATTAAAGATGTCGTATCTAAGCACAAGCGACTAATAACTAACTGCAATTAATCAACGAACACGGTCGAGTGATTTAAAAGTACCAACGAAGAGCTGTTATATTGTGCACCATCATCCATCCACATAATGCTCGTACGGCACTAAGTCATCGGTAGAAGCTAGATTATGAATACAGAGGACATCCAAACAGGCCCGCATGTATGCTGTTCGTTGCATGCTTCTCGCTCGTTGTGCTCGCTAGTCGTTCACAACAGATGCTTTCATGTCGTGCACATAGACGCGCTTGGCAAAATGTTGCTTTGCGCCATGAGAAAGCAACACGTTTTTCAGCCACCGACATGCACCTTGTTAAAAATTCATGCCAGCGCTAAAAAGAGTCTGGCTTCCTTGGAATTGAGGGCGCATTCTAAATCCCCAACAGCACGCGCACGCATAGTATCTCTCGGTCCACAAGCTGAAGTCACCGCACAATAACAACGGTGCACGGCAATCGAAATACGAAATGGCGAAATTATAATAGGCAGGGAATTAAATATTCAGAAACTAATTTATTTCTGTATCGAGAATATCACGCCGTAAGAAATAAATGCGCGAGATGACACCTCGCGAGGATTTTAAATATTTTATAACCATTTGCAGGAAACTGCTGCAAATGCTGCTTTTATGCACACAAACAACGACAGACACCCACAATAGCGAAGTCAGCATTCTTTACAAAAGAACGCAGCAACATTAAGACCTACGTTTTGAATTTGATAACGCGGAAATGCAGGCATGTTTCGAGGCATAGTGATGGAAATCGCGTTCTTTGTAGAAAAGAAATCACGGCATTATGCAGAACGGCAGATGCCACCGGGACCAGATGCAAAATACAGGTAATGGATTTCATTCTCCTGAAAGCATTACACCAGAAAATGAATAGCAGTTACTCCTAAATGATGAGGGGCTAGAAGAATGTGCAAGTATTCGACGTTTTTTATTTCCTCTCACGACAAAATTCCTCCATTAGCTTTCGCTGCAGATATTATAACTGAAAACATTTTTTTATCTGAAACGGCATCGGATTATTCCATCAGCGATGGCCGCGTTTCGCACGTTAGCGACAGCTCTCTGTGAGATGATGGTCTCCACACATAACCACCCTACCCTAGACCACGCGTAGGTGTACGCGTGCGAGCACGTATACCGAACGGCTGGTAAGGGAATTCACCTGAGACCAGACAGTAATGATCAAAGGCTATCATAGACAAATTAAACATCGCCCGGTGTTGACACATGTCACCCTGTATAATAACGCAGCGCTACAAGCTGCGGACCAGTATTGTGTGCCTGCTCCGTTGCATTTCCTAATGAAGAAGATAATGCGCACATCATGTGATAGTCACCGCACACAACTCGCGCTAATGCTCATCCATAGACATTTATTACGCTGGCAGGCTGACCAATAGCTGAATTCCCCAGCGGGCAGGAAATGATGTTTGTAAGAATGCGCCTGTCCGTACCATATCACCTACACACGCTACCTGAGCGTGAAGCGCGGCAGGTATTGCGTGAGCATAGATAATGTCACCAGCTAGCATGTTTAATATTTCAGCGTGCGTAGTGACAACCGACAATGTCCACCTTAATTTAGCGGCAATTAGATGGAAGTAGTGGCCTTACTACTTCCTGGCAGCGATCACTTTGACAGGACCCAGTCCCGCGGGTGACAACCATATGACAACAGCCAACGTAAAGCTTCAAACAGGGCACACTTGGGAATCGGCTGACAGTTGTATCATTCATACACATAATGGACTGACAGCATAATCAATTGTGAGACACTCACTTTGTAAAGTGTTCAATGTCGTCGGCTGAGGGTGGGGTGCAGGAGGGTGTGTGGACGCGCGGTGTATGGGGCTGAGGGTGGGGTGCAGGAGGGTGTGTGCACGCGCGGTGTACGGGGTACATCTGACATCCACTATTGATCCGTATAGCCGTCAAACAAGATTCTAGGCACTTCTAATATCTATCCTCGCGTATATGCGCACGGAATTACATTTGCCACTTCGTGCAATAATATCAACGGTAACTGTAATGTAGAGGGAAAATATTCACAAATAAAGACGATAGTAGGCCTACAGCGTACTTGTAAAAAACATTGAAGACTGGATATGGATTTTTGATGCCTGTGTCTGATAGCTTGAGACACGTAAGCAAATAATAACGAATTAGTATTTCAACAGAAATAATTATAATGTGTTTTAATGTGAACTCCTGATTATATTGCAGTTTTTGGTCACACCACCTGAACAAATGCACGTGCGATTGCACACTGGCATTATTAGTTCCTGACGATTGTATATAAACCCTGTTATGTCAGCACCCGTGAAATATAATGAATGTCCGTTTTTAGGTCATTAATATCAATATTGCCGCAGTGCCTCACCGAGCTATCTTCAATCGTTATAGCTGTCAAGCTAATTAAGAAATCACAGGAGAGATGATAATGCACCTACACAATTAAAAAAAATGCATAATTAAAACTACAGCAACACACACGCGCGCGCACGCACGCACGCACGCACGCACGCACGCACGCACGCACACACACACACATACATGTATATGTATATGTATATGTATATGTATATGTATATATATATATATATATATATATATATGGGTTAACTCCACACTGACCATATTAGGTAATGTGAACATAACATTAGCTGATTAGGTATAAAGCAAAAAACAAAATGATATTATCTATACATAGCGAGAGAACCAAGGTACGAAGAAACACTACCGAGGCAGGTTGCACTATGGCGTCGCCACGTAACAAACGATGATCCATCGACAAAAATGACCTGATGCTAACTAACTTCGCATCGCCGACGCTAGCGCTGCACGGGCATATAATTAGCAATGCGCTACATTCGTGCCTGACGAGATACGTCATGCATTTAAGACAAATTAATACATTATTAAGTACGGTTCTAAGTGATTATACCTAAAATAAATTGCCCTGGGGTGATAAATTTAATATTTCATAGAACGAGCACAATTAGCGTTACCAGCCGAGCATCCCCAGAAGACTAACCGATTCAATGTTTCATTTTTCTCGGCACCAACCGACCAGGTGCGGGCGCACCGCTTGGCCAGACCTTCAATTGCCTACTATGAATAGTGAGTGACTCAGAGATGTGGGCTGCTGCTAGGTAGGTAGGTAGGTACCCTTATGGCTTAGGAAACAAAA